CTGGCGCAGCGGCTGCGGGAGCTGGAGCGGCGGCACGAGAAGACGTGCGAGGAGGTGTTCCGTGTGCAGCGGCAGGCGCTGTTCATGAAGAGCGAGCGGCAGGCGGCCGAGGACAGGCTGGGCGCCGTGCAGAAGCAGCTGGAGCAGGCCAAGGACGAGGCGCGGCGCATGCAGGAGCTCCACGGCCACGCCGAGGAAGCGGCGAGGCTGGTCAGGGACAGGGACAGGAAGGTAGGGGACAGGGATTCGTGAGGAGCTGCTTTGGAGAGGGAATGGTGGCTTGGGAGCTGCACACGTGGAGTCCCTGATTTTGGGTTGGAAGGGACCTTAAATCCCATCCAGTGCCACCCCGTGCCGTGGCAGGGACACCTTTCACTGTCCCAGGGTGCGCCAAGCCCTGTCCAACCTGGCCTTGGGCACTGCCAGGGCCGGCTCTGGGCGTCCCGTAATCGCTGTGCCCTGTGCAGATCACCGAGCTGTCCAAGGAGGTTTTCAGGCTGAAGGAAGCCCTGAACGCCCTCCCCAAGTCTGCAGAGCCCCCAAAGTCCTCCCCCAACACGGCCGCGCTCCAGGCCCAGATCCGGGCGCTGGAGGAGAAGCTGCAGGTGGGTACCGGGTGGCACCTGCTGGGTTCGGGGCTCCTCCGAGCCTCCAGCGCCGTGGCCAAAGCCCCTCCCTGTGCTGCAGGAGACGGAGACGCGGCACAGCAAGGTGGTGACGCTGTACCGGAGCCACCTGCTCTACGCTGTGCAGGTGGGCTGGGGACAGGCCTGGGGACACGGGTGGGGGACTGGGCTACCTGCCAGCCCCAGGAGGCAACCGAGGGGCTGAGCCAGGTGCCAGCCCAGACACACATGGAGCCTCCTTGATGTCCCTGTCGCTGTCCCCTCCTCCCCAGGGCCACATGGACGAGGATGTGCAGAGACTCCTGTGCCAGATCCTGAGGATGCAGCGGCTGCAGGAGCAGGGCAGATGAGCCCCCCCAGCACGGGTGGCACGGGGAGGGGGACACAGCTCTGTCACTGCACCCTCTGTGTCCCTGGCGCTGGCACCCACCCCACTCCCAGCACAGCAATAAAGTTATTTATAGTCACACCAACGGGGGGGCTCCTGTCTGGGGACACCAGGGTGGGCACGGGGGGCGCTGGGGACCTGGGGTGGCACCGTCCCTAAAGGGGAGGGGTGACCGTGAAGGGAGGGGGTGGCGGTGTGGGACGAGTGGGAACGCTGTGGGTCAAGGCTGGGATCCCTTTTCCCCGGGCCGGGGTGTGGGGATCCCGCTGGGAGCACACGGGGAAGCGGCTCCGTCCCCACGGGAACGGCATTTCCTGCGAGGAAATGGGCTGGGAAGCGCCGGGATCCGGCGGGGACAACGCGGTCCCCGATGGCCTTGCTGTGGTGAGCATTGGGGGCACTGGGATCCCCACGGGTACTGGGGGGTGTGGGGTGGAGGTCTGGGGTGACCCCACAGCGCCGGGTTTGGGGCATCCAGGGAAAGCAGAGCGTGTCCCCAGTGGCTGTGGTGGGAGTTGACAAGGGCAGGGCCTGTCCCTGCGGTGCCACACTTGGGGACAGCTCAGCTCAGCCCCCAGGCTGGGCTTTGGGGGTCTCTCTGAGGATGGCCCCACCCTGGATGGAGGAGGGGGACACCCGAGGGATCCAAAACCCCAATTCAGGTGTGGCACTGCCGGGGTGGCTGCAGGAATTTTTACCCCTCTCCTTCCTGGCTGTAGGGTCTGATCCCTTTGGAATCCATCAGTCTGCAGGGCTGGGGGAGAAACTGAGGCACAGCAGTGTGGGGTGGCTCCAGAGGGATGTCCCCAGGGCATCTGTGGTGTCCCTGCTGTCCCCTGGGCTGAGGTTTGACCATCCTGCCTGTCCCCACAGGTCCCTGGGCAGTCCTGCTGAGTCTCCTGGCATGAGGTGGCTTTGGGTGGTGGCTTTGGTGGCACCTGCCTGCAGTGTCCCCTACAATGGCACGGTGGGGAGCACTGGGGCCGGGGACAATGGGGACAGAGGTATGGGGGACTGGGAAGGAGGGACTGGGGGGACTGGGGGAGGGAGATTGGGGGGATCCTGGATACAGCAGGACAGGGCAGACTGGGAGCACTGGGGTTGGAGATGGAGGGAACAGGGATGGAGGGGATTGGGGACACTGAGGGGACTGGGGACAGAATGGCAGGGTCTCTRTGGAGGGAYTGGGGACACGGGGACACAGAGGGACTGCTGATGGAGGATTAGGGACCCTGGGCATGGTGTTNGGGGGGCCGGGGGAGGTTCAGTGTCCCTGGCCCTGCCATGGCTGTGTCCCCACCGTGTCCCCATGTGTCCCCAGGCCCCTGCACCCCTCAGCACGGTCCCCTGGGCACTGAGGTGCTGCTGCCATGCCCGGGGGGTGTGGCCGAGTGGCGCCGGGGGGACACTGTCCTGGGCACATCCCCAGCCCCRGGGCTGGCCCTGCCCAACGCCAGCCTGGCCCACGAGGGCCACTACAGCTGCCATCACCCTGTCACCGGTGAGACCTGGGCCACCATCTGCCTGCGGCTGGGCTGTGAGTGACCCCCCGGCCCTGCTGTGACCCCGCTGCTGAGGGGTCCCTGGGGGTGCTGGCAGTGGGGTGACCCCTGTCCCCTGTCCCCTGCCCCAGACCCGCCCCCGCCACCAGCCATCGAGTGCTGGGCCACCAGCTACCCCCAGGCTGTGAACTGCTCCTGGGGGCTGAGCCCCGAGCCCCTGCTGGACACCGATTTCGTGGCCACGTACAGGTCAGTGCGGGCACCCAAAGCTCTCCCCGCTGTGTCACCCAGCCCTGGCCCGGCGGAGCCCCCGTGTCACCCAGTCCTTGGTGCTGTCCCTGTGTCCCAGGCACGGCACAGCCACAGGTGAGTGCACCCTCACGGGCCCGCGGAGCTGCTCCTTCGGGGACCTGCAGGTGTTTTCCCTCACTCCCTACGAGCTCAATGTCACAGCCCGGAACGCTCTGGGTGCTGCCTCCRGAACGCTGCCCTTCCTCCTGGAGAACATCGGTCAGTGCTGCGGGACCCTGGCGTGTCCTTTGGGGCTCTTGGGATGTGGGATCATCAGTGCAATGATTTGCTGGGGCTCAGGATGTCCCCGCACAGCTCAAAGGGAATGTGGGATCATCAGTGCAATGATTTGCTGGGGCTCAGGATGTCCCTGCACAGCTCAAAGGGAATGTTGGATCATCAGTGCAATGATTTGCTGGGGCTCAGGATGTCCCTGCACAGCTCAAAGGGAATGTTGGATCATCAGTGCAATGATTTGCTGGGGCTCAGGATGTCCCTGCACAGCTCAAAGGGAATGTTGGATCATCAGTGCAATGATTTGCTGGGGCTCAGGATGTCCCTGCACAGCTCAAAGGGAATGTTGGATCATCAGTGCAATGATTTGCTGGGGCTCAGGATGTCCCTGCACWGCTCAAAGGGACACGAGGGCGCTGTCCCCAACAATCCCATAGCCACCACACCCCCCTTCACTGAAAAAGGACAGAAAGTGACTTTTTCCACCCAGTGGTGGGACAAGGGGGATGGTTTTAATCTAAAGGAGGGTTTAGATGGGCTATTGGGAAGGAATTTGTCCCTGGGAAGGTGGGACACAGGGTGCCCAGAGCAGCTGTGGCTGCCCCTGGATTCCTGGAAGTGTCCAAGGCCAGGTTGGAAGGGTTTGGAGCACCCTGGGATAGTGGAAGGTGTCCCTGGTGGGATGAGATGATCCTCAAGGTCCCTTCTCACCCAAACCATTCTGAATGATTCTCTCATTCCTTGTCTCCCCAGTAAAGCCGGACCCTCCTGAGACCCTGCAGGTCTCTCCCATCCCCGGGGAGCCCCAGAAGCTGCTACTGGAGTGGAGCCCTCCATCCTCCTGGCCCTTCCCGGACTATTTCCCACTCCAGTACCGCATCCGCTATTCCCGGGACAACGACTCYGTCCCCACCATGGTACTGCCACTCCTCTGGGTAAACTGAGGCACAGCTGTGGCTGTACCCGGCGTGTCCCTGTCCCTTACCCTGCTGTCCCCAGGTGAAGCTCTACGAGCTGACATCCCACACCCTGACGGAGCTGGAGCCTGGGACCCTCTACCACATCCAGGTGGCTGCCAAGGACCTGGCGGATTCGGGGGAATTCAGTGCCTGGAGCCCGCCGGCCTCGGGGACACCCTGGGTGGGGCCGTGACAGGCAGGGCAGGGCCACTGTCCCTGTCCCCATCCTGCTCGTGTCCCCATCCTGCTCTTGTCCCACCCCAGCAATGCCGAGCCACCAGAACAGGCAATAAACAGGCTTGAGGCYTCATCCCTGTCCTAATTTTGTGACGTTTGTGATATCTGAGCTATCCCTGGGGTCGGTCYTTTCACTGCCCCCAGGCCAATCCCTTTGCTGTTTTAGAACAATCCCTTTCTTGTCCTGCATTTGACCCTTTTTTGCCCTTGGAGTCRGTCTCTTTTCTGCCCCAGGATGGTCCCTCCGTAGCGGCCCAACCCCACCCCGGCGGGGCTGTGACAGAAGCGGCGGGGTTTGAGGGGTGGGCGGGTGCCGTGATTAACAGAGGTACCGTGATTAACGGGGATGCCTGAGACCTGTGCAGCGTTCCCCGGGCTCAGGCAAACACGGAACGGAGCTCCGGGCGATCCCAGACCTCACACCGGAGCCCCGGGGGCGGTTCCAGCCCTCACACCGGAGCCCCGGGGAGGTTGCAGTCCTCACACCGGAGCCCCGGGGGAGGTTCCAACCCTCACACCGGAGCTGGGGGAGGTTTCAACCCTCACACCGGAGCCCCGGGCGGTTCCA